TCCACGTAGCCGATGCAGCACACCGTGGAGTCACCATGCCCTCTGTCTGCCCCACCCCCTTTAATATCTCTAACGCTTACCCCCTCCCTGCCCCCTCCTCTCCACGTAGCCGATGCAGCACCCCCTCCTGCCCCCTCCTCACATTGGGGATTCCACATAGCCGGTGCAGCACGCCGCGGTGTCCCCATGTGTTCTGCGCTACCACCCACACGTCACCATGCCTTCTGTCCGCCCCACACCTCTTTTGTCTCCCTTCCTGGGGTCGGCGGCACTGGGCGGCAGCCCTTAAATTACTCAAGCTACGAAGAGATATTCTACCTACCACTCCTGAAATGTGACCAACACACGCCTATGCCATGCCAGCACTTTAGTAAACTTGTTCCATGGCCCTTTTCGGCCAGCAGGTTGCGAAAATGTCGAAGCCATTCAAAACCCGCTTTACAGTACATCTCCCCTCAAATTGCAGTTGTCACATGTTTGAAATTGCTTCACTGTACTCCAACTTCTTTGGACTTCGCCCGGCTCCCCTCAGCCTGGTGCTGCGCATGGTGCCATAGCAAGTGCAGCTGTTGGCAAGTTGCGGAAGCCGTGTAGCTCTGGGAGAGCCTGACCAAGCAGCTCACACGTCACACATACAGGTGAGACACGATTTGTTGAGCTGTGCTTTACAAAATGGCAACTCCTCGCATGCCAAGAACAAAAGTAGAAGATCTCCTGTGACTGATCATGCCCAGCAGGTCCACACTCCCAACTCGTTGATCAAGCTCCCATCACCAACCCTCCACCAGATCCATCAGCAAGACTCGTCCTGAAAAGCAGGGTGTTCAGGGCTCGGCAGCACTTCAGCCTCAGCATATCAGCATCATTGTTTCGTGAGGGTCATTCTACCTTGACAAACAGAAAAGTGTCTCAGAAACTCTTGACACCTTGACCTACACCAGAGATTATTGCAGAAAAATGTCTGTGTAGATGAAGTCAACTGAGAGCCCATCAGTGCCAAGCGGGCCCTGACAGGCTCGGTCGAAGCTGGGATTTCTAGTCCCCTCTCTAGCTGCTTTCGAAATTGGAGTGTCCACACGACATACTTGTGAGGGTCCAAGGGCCCAAACAAACTTCTTGCTCCTGGTAGTAATGCCAGGAGCTACTAGTAGCTTCTTGCTACTACTAGCGTTGCACCTTGCTAAGCTACTAGTAGCGATGCCATTGTTTCTAATAGCTTACTTAATTAAGTAGCCGCCTACTTAATTAAGTAAAGGGGGTAAACACGCTACTAGCAATGCTTAAGTCACTACATATTATTATGGACGCAGGATAGCTCACGCTCGCACTATATCATGATTTTTTGTTCCTAGATTATTTGAGAAACTAAACAAACATATAGCCATACTGTATGTCCCTGGCCTCTTTGCAGCAGCCACCACAAACTATGAGGCCTAGCCTGAATGGATCAAGCGGTCAGACATGAACAAGCCAATCCATAGTCAGTGGTCTAATCATGCACTGAGCGCCTTGAAACACTTTGCTTTGGGAAGGGGCATCCTCCCCCAAAAAAAAAAAAAAAAAAACATGTCCACAAGACCTTGGTTCAGGAATGCCTTACCTCTTGCACTTCTAACTTCTAACAAGTACATAGGTTTCGCTTCGATTTTGCCAAGAAGAACGTAGGCTGGTTCTTGTATGCCAAGATGTTCTTTTGCCATGGTGTTTTTATTGGTATTATCCCACAAAAGAAGTCAAAACACATGATCCCATGGGCCTCAACTCAGCAGCAGCAGCCGATGCCCGGGGCAGTTTCAGGGGAGGCCCGCGGCTCCATGTCGCTGCATCCATCCCAAGGAACTCGGTGGAGTTGAGATAGGGTGAGCCAAAGCCCCTGCACTCGAGAAGCAAGGACGGTATCTCACAAACACAACAAATACGAGTACCTTCGACTAAATAGCTTGGATATGCTTGAATCAAGCAATGTGCGACACCTGAACTTTGCAGCACCACTGAAGTCAGTGAAGGCTGGCCCAGCCTTGTTAGCCCGCCGCAAAGCCAAACTCCTCCATTGAAGCGAACTGCCGCCGGGCAGTAGCGAGGCTGCGAAAGTGCCTGAAATGAAAACCGGCAGTTTGTTTCCTCCAGTACCAAACTGAATTCAGCAGATGGACTTAGCAGCCATTACTATCAGGCTCGCTCGCTGCTGTTATATGAATAAACGGAAATCACTACTCTTCTTTTGAAGAACGCTATTTACACAATTTAGCTAACTACACATGAACTCAGATTTGAGGCGTGAACTGGCAATGGCTGCCAGTGCCCTTCCGCAGGTTCAGACACCTGGGCCAAGCACCCACTCAAAAAGCTTCATACTTAAGCTTCTACCCTTAGTAGCGTCCTTGCTCCTAGCAGCGATGCCCTTTGTTCCTAGTAGCTTCTTGCTCCTAGTAACTAGTAGCAAGGCCAGGAGCCCCTAGTAGCATCCTTGCTCCTAGAAGCAATGGCCTCCAACCCAAGAGCAATGGCCTCCAACCTAAGAGACAAAGCCCCTGGATGTCCCGATGAAACCTCTGTATTTTGTTCACGCTGGCATTGTACCAAGTGTCTACTCAGATCGCAAGATTCGTCGAGGTACTAAGGAAGGAATTTTCCTGACGCATCTCCAAGTTTTTTCTGTATTCTGGATCCCTCAAAATAATTGTTGCTCTTCCATTCTTCACGGTCTGGAGATACAAACTACTGACCTTCAAAGTTATTAGGTCCCCGTCACTACCTGGAGTAGGTCACGTGGAAAACTCTGGACACGTGGTCATGGAGATGTTTCAAGAGCAGCACTGCCAAAATGTGGCCTGCTCAAATTAAGCATATAATTGTATGTGCATATATATATAATATACATGTATAATTGTTGTTCATGAACTGTCTGAAATAGAGCTGCGCAAACTACAAAACCATGGGGGTAGCACAATAGACGTGTATCTTGGGTGGATGGATGCATAAGTTGCATAATAAGTGCTTATCTTGAGATGTTGAGTCAGCTCTCTGCACCTGGCAGGCCTGGGTGCCCCGCATCAGAAGGTAACTGGAAGCACTCCGCAGTACCTACAAATGGGCCAAATTAAGCACACCAGCAAATTGAGGGAATCTAGAGCCCCTGGGCTACATTTCTGCAAAATGCATAGACACGTAGACTCAAGCTCTGGAGCAAGCAGGAAGCAAGTCGATCAATCCCGGGAGCACTGTGGTAGCTGTCGCCATCTCGCCCACCGCAAGCAAAGAGCTGACCCCCTAGGCTGGACAAAGTGAAAGTGACACAGCACCAGAGCCGACGAAGCCTTCCAATGTCAAACATGTTTCTCGAAAAAAGTTATAGAATTGCTTCAACATATGGCAAGGCATGGCAAGGCCAAACCTAATTAGCATGAATTTGAGACCCGTTGGCTACTCATCGGGTAGGCGGGACAAGTTAGACTAAGCGCCCAAGCGCTGACCCTTCGCGACATGTTGGTTCGGTTCACCACACATAGAACACCCAATCTTCAGCTGTAGGTTGGTAGCTTGCCGACATAGACCCTTTTCAAGCATTGCTAAGGGAAGACAAAACATGCTGTTTTGTTGATGGATACTTTGTGAGGCCTCGACAATGGACCTTGAAGATGAAAAGCATGTTCAATACGTGTGTATGTATGTATGTATGTATGTATGTATGTATGTATGTATGTATGT